CGCTGGGTCCCGGTTGCAAGTGACCTGCCGTCAATTTTCGCTAATGTATCAACGCCGCGATCCTCGAGCGACACACTGTCCGCAATCGCAGCGGGATCGCTCGTGCTCTCGGGCCACCCGCTCGCATGCCCGTTCGTGTCTCGGTGCTCGCGTGTCCCGCGTTACGTACGAATTATAGGCATTATTTCTCGCGTCGGTTCGCATTTAAGATTTCCCGCCGATCGATACGCCGGCTATAGCGGGGTATCCGCGCGGCCAACATGTGATTTCTCGCAGCAACATTGCGCTTTCGAGTCCGCGATCCGCTATCTCGCGCCGAGAGAGTCGAAATATCTCACAAGATGAAGATAACGGTAGCGATTTCACGATTCAACGATAAAATAGGCAAATAGCGGGACGTATAACGAGCTAACAAGACGCCAGAAGCAGTGAAAATTTAAATAAGAAACCGGCGCGACGGAGACAATCGGATTGCGTCTGAGCTGTTTTCGTACCACCGTGCGAGAGTACGAAAGCGTTCGTTCGCCGTTTGCCATTGGTTGATCTTTATACTTCTGGCGGCGAGAAAGGGGGTGGGAAGGAGGCAGGCAATTGCTCGATACGCCGCTGCGTTTAATAAATGAAAACGCACGAAGAGAGCAGAGCGGACGTGGACGAGAGGCGCACCGCCTTTATCTTTATTTCAGAGCCAGTCGTTCCGCGTGCCTCTTCCTTCCTTGCCCTCGGGCGAGCCCCAGGAAAGGAGTCGCGCGCGTACTGCGGCTGCCCTCCCTTGCAGGACACCGACACCTTTTCACGGTCGTTGGCAGACCTTGCTCTCCCGGGGGCGTCGGCGACGCCGTCGGTTAGGTGCATTATTAAATACGGTCAGACGATGGCAAGCGTTAACCGGGTGTAACGAAGTAGGCAGCGCGCGCGAGACATAGGCAGCGAAGTCGCTGAATATTCAGGCGCAACGAGGGTCTGAACACTATATTTCAGTGCCGTCTACAGACGTTTGTTCCGCGACTATAAGTTTCCAGTTAGAAACTTCCTCGGCAGAGCATAAAACCAATTTATACTTCAGCGGGAAGCCCACAAAGAAATAGCTTAAGCGCGCCGCGGCGAAATCACGTTTGCTGGAGCGGTCAGATCGATTCTTCACCGCGTTCACCGAGCGATAAGTATTGAGGACTGCGGTGGATCGAGATGTCACATTCTCAGTCAGATCCATACTAGACCGAGCATGTTCTCTTTTAAGCAACGAAGGTTAGGTAGAAAAGGATAGAAAGTCGGTGCCGCGTCAACCTTTCCCTTTTTAGTCTTCTCGTTGGAGAGAGAGAAAGGTGGACGGCGCCTACTTTCTATCCGTTTCTACCTGAGCCTCAGGTCAGGCGTCTCATGCTCGGTTACTATTAGCGATTACTATTACTTGTTTACAGTCAGTTCTTGCACTCGAAGAAATATGGATCTGAATTCTCACCAGCGGTGTGGAATGAACACCCATACAGGTGTTTATGTAATTCTCTCACCTTATCGATGTGAAATTAACATTGCCTGGTTAGCGCGGAAAACTCTGTCAACGTGAAAGATTAACAAGGTGTACGTACATACACGATAAGCTAAACGCTGTAGCGATTGATTGTTCTATTATAGTTACGTGTGGCGTCGTCACGGCGGTCACATCGCATGTCGTGAAAACAAAACAACATAGCATCAAAGTTGACACCGCGTTTGTTCGTGTGAAAGATTTTCTACACGTTCGATGTTAAAATTCACAC